TATTTTTCAATGTAAGTAAGTGCCTACAGGCACGATGTCTCTTATGTGTGTGTTGTGTACATGGTCAAAAGTGGGTTTTACAGTAATCGCGGTAAAATCCGAGAGTCTCCAAATGGTGTTTGCTGGAATAGAATTGGGTCTTTGTAAATTTAGAACAGCAAACATTTTGCTGGAACAGCCAAACGTTTAGCCATAAATTTACAAAGGCCCACTTGATTTAGCAAACATGCTATTTCGTGTGATGGCTAGTCTAAATCAGATCAGACTCGTTTGCACGATGCACATATGACCTTCACGGGTTTTTAGCGATTGTGTTCCTACATCCTTACAAATTGAGTTGGTCATAACTCTTTTGTCTTTGTCCTTTGTAATTTCGTGCTGCACGCTAGTTGTCCCGACATTTCAATATCACGCGATAGGTACACGGTCGAACCGCTTAGTGTGTTTCATAGTACGGCAGGCAGTGGCTGGAACCGAGGCTCTCTTGTTTTAACCATTTTCAGATATAAGTTATTCGAAAACCAAACAGAGTTTCTTCGAGTTACAATCGGCTATGAACGAGAATGTGGGAATCTACCACGGCCACAAACTAGCTGACAGAAATAAGTTACCTTGCTAGTGCCGCTTAACTTACTGTAAACTACATATATAGTTAATTTGAGAAATTACACCAGCTACATTTTACAGCGCTGCAAGTATTCCCGTTATCCAACATGTCATTCCGACTCGTGCTCCTAGCATTCGCGATCAAGGAGGGCATCCACGGCAAAGGCATCAACTCCTTCATGGTGAGTTAGATTTTATCTTCTTGCAAAGTCCATTTCTAATTTGGACGGTTGTCAACAATGTACCTTTACTGTGACCTTCTAAAACATATATTTGTCAAAATGACATTGTCCTCAGTTGATGATATTTTAAGAAATCTGTTCAACGAAAGGTTTTTCTTGGTGGATTTTATCTGTTCTTTCAATAGGGTCGTTACATTATTTACACAGACCGTTTTTACATGTGTGAACCAAACCTTCCCTCGAAATGGTATATTCGTGCTTCTCACTTTAACCCACAAAAACCAAAAGAGTTACAAGTCCTGACAGGCAATGCGATGCTTTCATTTCTGACTGATGACAGCACCTGGGTAAGATTCTAGGTAAGAGATTTCACTTTTCCCTATATTGCATAGCACGCACGAGGCTCCGGAGAGGACAAAACCACGCAAGTCTGCGCAGCCTTGGTCAGAGCACATAGGTCCGGCGCTGACAAAACCACGGAAAGTTCTTAGGCGCTGGTGAAACAACGTATCGACTTTTTTGGAAATTTTGAGATAACTCTCCCAGGTGGCT